TTTTTATTAACTTTTATTCTATACATCTATGTTTATGTATATACATATATATTCCTAAATATATCTCAGTCCATATAATGCTACTTCTATGTATGTCTTCAGGGCTGACCATTTGTCACTAGACATCAATTGATATGCTCTTTCCTGGGAGAAACCACCTCTCCTACTTCCAGCTTTCTTCAGTTGCCTATAGTTCTTTGTGTAGAGTAGAGGTATTGCAGGCTTTTCTCCATCCACTCTGACATGATCATTGGTGTTGCAGAAATTTATACTTGCTGTTTTGTAGCATATGTGTCTGTGTGGGTTTTTTTTGTGTGTGTGTGCACTTGCATTCATACAGGGTGCCTGTGCATATGGAAGCCAGAATTTTAAGTCAAGTTTCTTCCTCTATTACTTATTGGCTGTTGTTGTTGATACTGTCTATCTCATGAATCTGGAGCTCAATAATTGGCGAGACTGCTTGTCCAGTAGTCTCTGTGGATCCACCTATATTGTTGGTTGGTTTTACTCTTTGGCTCTTTGGGAGAGCCTGCCACCCAGCTCCCAAATAAATCACATGGAGGATTATTATTACTTATAAATGTCCAGCCTGGCTTCTTTCTAGCCAGCTTTTCTTAACTTAAATTATCCCATCTACCTCTGGTCTCTGGGCTTTTACCTTACTCTCCTATATACCTTTCTTTACTTATTACTCTATGGCTGGTGGTTTAGTGGGTGACTGCCCGCTGATGCCCTCTTCTCCTCCTCTTCTCATTTCTCAATCTTCTCTGTCCAGATTTCTCCAGCTATTTGTTCTCTCTTCCTGCCAGCCCTGCCTATCCTTTCTTCTGCCTGGCTATTGGCCATTCAGCTCTTTATTAGACCAATCAGGTGTTTTAGACAGGCAAAATAACACAACTTCACAGCTGAACAAATGCAACATCAACGAATGCAGCACATCTTTGCATCATTAAACAAATGTTCCACAGCATAAACAAATGCAACACATCTTTAACTAATATTCTACAACATAACTGTCTCCATTCAACCATCAGTAGGCTTATAGATGTGCATCACAAAATTAGTATTTAGATGTATTCTGGGGATCCAAGTCTGGTCTTCATGTTTGCACAGGAGGCAATTTAGTAACCCAGAAATTTCTCTAGCATATAGTTGGAATTTTTAATAAGAATACAAACTAGATTTTATTTAAGAATTTTAAAGCATAGAATACATGCATAGTCTCTACTTTTATAACAAATAAATATACCCATTTTTAAAAAAGAAAAGTGAATTAGGTTTAGATATATCACAGACTCTATCTTCTAATCAATACACAACTTACCAGGCAGAAAGGCTGATTCCTTCATTTTTAATGATTTATTAAGTCCTTTTTGCTAATAGGATTTATTAATTCAGACCAATAAAATAGAAGCTTAAAGTAATTATAGAACTTGAAAATTGGTGCTACTCAAAATATTGGAAACATACTTTATAAGTCTGTTTTAAAATACAGTATACAAAAAACAGCTTTGAAATTCTCACAAATGATGAATTACATATGTATAAATGCATGAAAGTTAATTGAAAGATGTATTAAATATATGGGAGTATGTTTTATGAAAATTAGTCCTACTTTGTGGTAAATGATTAAAACATAAAAATTATCATTATCTGAGTAGCAGTGTCAATGCCTATAAACTAAGAAGTGTATTTATCTCCAACCAGTTAACCATTTCCTTTTTACTAATTTGCAGTATTTAAAAAATGTATAACCCTTTTCCCCAGTGAATCCTATTGATCAAAAGCATGTTCTCAGTTGAAAAAACTCACTATTCTGATTGAACTAGATGTAAAGTGATGGGATTTTATTCAATATTATTTTTCATATGTTATATTTGAAAATACCACTTTGGCGAAAAATATATGAATTTAGGAAAGAGGAAATAGAGTTATATACTATCATTTCATATTTTGATCACAGTCTCATATTTTGTACAGGAAAAGTCCTAACTATGAACTTGACAATAAAGTAAAATTGTTACATAATGCTACATAATATATAAATGTTCACATATTTACAGCTATTTTGATATATATGATATCATGTTATATGTCTCTATATTTTAATATATATTTAAATCACATATATGTGCATGTGTTTGTATATGCCATATATGTAACAGTATATTTTTAAGATATTTTCAACTACTTGCAAAACACATTTCACAATATAAGATTCAAGTAAATCATATGAGAATAGTTAAGTAAGAATCACATGAATTGGCCTTTAGGAGCAAACACTTACTTAAGTGAAATTTCAATAATATTTAAGCATCAGATTTACTAAGTTCTATCTGAAGTCCCCTGTCATTTAGGACAGCTCTGTAAGTCTTGAAAGCATGGTCTAATCAATTTACCCCCTGGTGGTGGCGTGCTCCTGAGCCTTTCGCATGGACTTTCACAAGAAAAGAAGCATACACTTCTCAGCTCAGCGTCACATCTTTCTAATTATCACATAGAAATCGATCATATTTTTAAACGATCTAAGAAATGAACTTCTTTTAATTTAAATTGAAATGTGTGTACAAAAAAATAGGATGAGCAACCTATAGGATGAGCAACCTTTATGTACATGCCCAGAACAGCAAAAGAGACAAGCCTTAAGCAATGGTCTACTGAAAATACATATTATGAAATTCAAAATACTAATCATCTATACGAAATATGCCTTCTCTACTACAAAGTTACTCGGGAAAAGGATATTTGAGCATAGTCATCATATTTTCAAAGCACGAACTACATGAGTTTTCTGCTACTTTTTGTGTCATGATGACCCCTCCTGGTTGAGCTGTTCATTAACTTAAATTCATGGAGTTACCGTTTTTTGCTGCCTTGAGTCTTTCTAGGTATTAAAAACATAACTATCATACAATACTTCAAAAATAAGTACAACATAAAATAAATAATTTTCATTATGCATAAAAATAAAATAAATTTGAAAGTTCAATCTCATCACTAAGTTCAAGTATTAGTCATTATTAAATTCAATTCCAAGATTTAGGACAACTTTGGGCTTGTGTCTCAGAGCTTAAATTCAAATGTAATAAAAACCTATCTCAATCAATCCATTACATATTTTAACTATTTACATTATATAGAATGAAAACTAAATAAATCCTAAAGCTAAACACAAATATTTTTAAAGTAGTGATTTTTTGTGTTATTTTTCATTGAATTCTAGGTAGTAAAAACTAAGCACATATTTCTGAAATAACAACTTTTTAATCTTTGAACTATAGCAATGTAATAAGGGAAAATGTAACATTCTGAACACATGGTGATTGATTCAGATTGACCCATTTCTACTAAGGCATACAGAAAGATGAGATATAGAATTCTGAAAGCTATTGGCAAGTAGGAATTCAGATCAGAGAATACAACATACTTTAACTTTTAGTGAGTTTATAGGAGACATAGAAGCAAATTCTATACTACTACACTAACATATTTTGAAATGGAAATTGAAATTCCATCAGAATAATTTTTCATGGGTAGTGTTACATATTTTTGTAGATGTCAACATCAAGGAGTCTAGCTTTACTTTTTCCATGTATCCTATAGAATGAACATAGATAAAAAAATATATATTTTTTTAGGTTTGTTTGTGTTCTGAGACTACCATAATGTTTGCTTTTTTAAGTTCACTACAACTTAGCTCTCTTTTTTTCTTGCATTTCTCTATCTTTAAGCACTGCAAAGAAGCCCATAGAAGGTAGTCAGGGAATATGTGAAAATACTAATAATGATAGCACAGTAGATGATTGTTGAACACAACACATAAAGCTCATTTCAAGGCTACTCTTATTAATATTTTGTACGATGGAATGATAATATTAATACCGAAACATAGACAACAGTGAGCAGGAATACGTCCACAGAACTATAAATAGAGGAAGGACTGAAACACATGTGAGGCATCTGGAATCTACTCAACTTATCTATCCTAAGAAGAGAGCATTTTCCTCTGAACTCCACAGCTCCATACTCCTTCCCCAGTGGATTCACCCATCCTCAGAAACAAGGCTGTGCTTAGGAACACTTTGCAAAGTACAACAGAAAATCAGTTCAGCATTTAACTCTTTCTCGGCCAAAGCCAGCTATGCCTTCCCTCCCTTCACACACAGTACGCATTTCTAAAGCAATGCAGAAATGAGCTGGAATCTTCCATTTCTTCTAAACCTCATCAAAACACGAATCATAACTCCCTCTTCCTTTAAAACACACATTTTGAGCAGCTGCATCATTTTTCTAAAAACTTTCAAACCATCTCTTCATTATCCATTAATAACATTTGCACTAGCAGTCCCAAGTCATGGCCTGGATGAGTCATGCCCCCGTTACTTCAAACTACTAAGTAATTAGCACATTGTCGGTTCCCATATAAGACTTAATTTTAATATATATGTTTATATATGTATGTATGTATGTATATTCAACTGCTAAATGAGCATTAACTTTTTTTAAGAGTACAGAGGCTATCAGTGAATCCATAGGCGCCCAAACTGCTTGAAGTATGTTCCTCTTTCCTCCTCAGACCAATGCGTAAGTTAAACCATCAATAAAAATCAGAAACTTCTGCTCGTCTTCTGCACTACCCAAGTAAAATGTAATCGTCTCCAGTCTGCACAGATCGGTCCCAAGAAATGACCACACTCATCACTCTAATCACTCTAACCAAGCAGTTGCGGAGCAATCTTTAAGACTAGGAACAACTTTCCAGAAGCATCCAGCACTATGAATATCGTCTTCACCAAACAAGGAGCTCCCTGGGTTTAGAGTTTCTCTGCTTCTTTGCGGCAGTGGCAAGTGCCAGGCATCCGACACACATACATGCACACAAACATACACCAGGGGCAAAACTGCGAATGCTCCTCGGAGTTGATGCCTGGGCGCCCTTACACCAATGCGGCACTGAAGTGGCTCCAACACGGAGCCGCGGACAGGAGAGGGCTACTTACGGAACGTGGAGGGAGCCATCCAGGCTCTGCAGATGAAGCTGCTGAGAATCCAGAGCGAGAGCGCTGCCCTGCAGCCTGCTCTCCTAGACACCACCATCCTTTGCCTCCGGGCCAGCGGTACTCCAAAAGCTCGCTGCGGAGATGCAGTTCGCCTCACAGTGGGGTTCTTGAAAGGAGCTGGTCTGTCCTCAGATGCGAGAGGAAACCAAGCTCCTCCTGCTTGGTTTCCTCTCCCCTCACCCCCTCCAGGTTCCAATTCTGGGCTGGCAGTAGCAGGGGAGGCACAGCCTTGTTTTCCCTTCTGTGTGGGTCTGGTCTCTTGCTCTGCGAGCCAGTGAAATGCCAGGGGAAGAAATTCAAACCGAGGAGGAATAGGAGGGGTGAGAGAGAGAGGAGGGGACTGACACCTACCCCGCCCTCTCTTCTGGAAAAAAAAAAATCACCAAAGGACGCGTGGGGGAAATCTGGAGAGCACTGAGCCTGCAGGAGAGAACCGGAGAGCTATGTGTCCAGCGATGCTGCTGTAGCCACTGCGGGCGAGCGCTCGGGTGCACTGGGCAGCGCGACTCAGAGGGGTTTCCAGTAGGCTGTCAGCTCCCAGGATGAGATCAAGGATGTGCGGAGTGGAGCACAGCCCCGGGTGCTCGCTTGGCCTCAGCGCGGCGCGGCACTGAGAAGCATCTCTAGCTTGAGAGTCACAGCAGCAGCGACCACAGCAGCCAGGAGCTGGAGAAGCCGCTGCCTCCAGCAGCGCCTGCAGACCCGGGCGAGCCTGGCAAAGGGAAGCCTTCCCCCTCTTCCCTTCTTGTTTCCCTCCCCGGCCCCTCCTCCTCCTCCTCCTCCTCCTCCTCCTCTTCTTTTCCTACCGTACTCCTCTTGCTGTAACAACCTTTCTGCCCTGCCCTCGTCTGGTTTGGAAGGAAAAGAGAGAAGGAAGCCACCGACCCAGGTCCATTAGCTGGAGTCCTGGCCAAGGCTGGAGGTATGCGCCTCTCTCTAGGCGGGAGGTGCTGCTGTCTGTGGTGCTGAAGTTGGGAATTTGCTGTGTAATCTAAGAACCCTGCTCCAGACCTGGCTAGTCCCTGACCCAGCGGTAGGAGGGAGAAACCCCTTGCTGGGATGCTTTCTCTCCTCCCCTTCGGATAGAGATGGTACAGGCTCCTGGAGCTTCGAACCCCCGGGAACCACCATTACGCGTCCCAAAGGCAGTCTTACGAGTGGTCATAACACCAAGTGACAGCTCTAAACATCCTGACTGGATGAAGCAGAACCCGAGGATTGCAGATGTACCTAATGCAGATGTTTTACATGTGTAATTAATTCATATTTACTCATATATATGCACATACATACGTATACACATATTCACCAAACACATGATGCTTAGAAAACCACACTCTAGCAAACACAAACACAAACAAACCCAATCGAAAAACTAGAGTAAATAAGCAGTCAAATGATAATTATTTCAGAGTACTTACGGCATTGCAAGTATTAAGAACTAGGAAGGACTATAGAGAGGATGTTTTCTTTAATCATTTAGATGATTCCAATAATAAGTCTCAAGCTTTTCCTCTCAACTCCCATCTAGCCACACTCTACACTGATTTGTTTTCCTAACATCCAGCCCACGTGAAGTACTTGGATTCTTTCCTCCCTACAGAAGCAATCTTTTCACTGACTTTACTGACACAATTAAGAATTATAGGTCTTCTTAATACCAAATGATGTTTAGGGAGGTCTGAAGAGGAGTGACCATGTCTTTCAGTGTTATGTAATGAACAAGCATTGGCCTTTCATGATAAATAAAATTTTTATGAAGATTTGTCCACTCCCAGAATAGATTTCGAGTTTTAATGTTATGGTTAGGTCTCAGAAAGGTCTACTGTAAACAGTACTGTGTGTTCACTGCATAATCAGTGTGGTGTTAATCGGCCTGATTCAGCATTAATTTAAGTCTTTTTTATTGATTTAAAGGGATGCACTGTCCCAGTCAGAATTACAGGTTGGGTAAACTCTGGAAAAATAAGAAATACACAGCTGACCAATGATGGGAAGGAACCACCTTACTCCTCAGGTAACCACTCTTCTCACCACAAAATAGGACAAAGAAGGCATCTGTGGGATGAGAAAATGTCTCTTTTCTATTTGAATTCCCACAGACTCCCATAAGTCAATGAACACTTTCGAGAACTCTAGACAGAACTGCCACCAACCAATTGTAAGAACTCAAAGAAACAAAGTATGAGAAAAATTTTGTTAGAGAGAACAACTTTTTTACAACCATCAGTTGCTTAAGTATGTCTCTCCATTTTTAACCATTGTGTTAGGTACCATTTATATGGTCCTAAAATACTTTAAACAGAAGAAAAAGAGGAACAAATTGAAAGTATCACATGTTCAGTACTCCAATGGATGTCATTTACTATGTACAGTATGCAGATTTGTAGCTACTGTATATCTTATAATATTGAGCAAAAAACAACTGTAATGTACCTAGTTAATTGATTTCATAACATAAAATGCTTTCCCCTAAAATCATTATAATCAGTTTATAGTCATTTTAGAATGATCAAAATCAAACAAAACATGTAATAATAAGTTTCGTTATTTTTTTTAAGTTACAGACCATCACTTTTGTGCTATTTAACATGGGCTGATTTTATGTGTGACTAAAGATGTTCCTAGATGCATTGAATATCAGCTTGAACATCATTACATGATTTGCAGCTTTCCACTCTTGTTAACTAGACTTGAATATCAGGAGACACACACAGCACAATGAAAACAATAAGACTTCAGTGGTGATTCCTTGGATGCTAGTCATTGTTCTGTCTTTTCCTATCCATTTGCACTACTGAAATCTCTGTGAGAACATTTCCTTTCCCTTCAATTATGACTATGTCTGGTAGTGAGAAGATTGGAATCACTATTTTTTGTTCATCTTGGTCAGAAACTAATCATATAATTGAAGGGCTGTCAATAGCCCTATTAATGTCTATCATCTATTGACAACCATGCTTCAGAGAGTGGATTCAGATCAGTATCTGCATTGCATTTGTGTTTGAAAAATGATTGAATATAGTTGGTAGTGATCTTAAATGTCACATTAGCTTGAGGCTAGTAAAACCAATGGCACATGGGAAAAAACAAACAAACAAGGGAATTGCTTGTAAAAGAAGGGAGACAAATTATATTATTTTTGAGAAAAAAATAGTGCCTTTCAATTACAATAAATAAGTTCTTAACAGAAACTACTTGACAGAAGAAAGATACATTTGAGCTCAAGGTTTCTAAGGCGTCAATTCAAAGTGATGAAGAAGACGTGGTAGAGCATAGCATCCCATATCATGAAGGAACACGAAAAGAGAAAGATGCTAATACTACACCCGATTTCTGTTTTCCTCCAATTAATCATTTTAGTGCCTGAAGCCCATTAGTAGTGCCGCCCTTATTCAAGTGGACTCTGTCCCCTCATTTAATCATCCAGAAATGTCCCCAAAGATGTACTCAAAGTTACATCTCAGTCTCCACCGTGACTGTGGGTACAGTCCAGTTAAGAATGATGATTAATCCTCATACAGAGAAATAGAAATTGGGAAAGCATGAGCACTCCTGATCTTTAGGAACTCACATTCCCTTGCTTTCCAATGGAAAACACTGGGATTGCTTTTGGTCTTTTTATTTTTAACATAAACATATACTTGCAGATGTGTTATTACTTCACACACATATTCATCATTATATCATCAATAGTTCTTCAGTATCTAGTATTACTGAACTTGCCATTGTTGTAAGTGCCAACCTTATATTTATAGGCAAATTTCATCAGCAGAATTGGTATACGGCATTTGAATTTGAAGACAAAAATAGGTCTGTAATATCTTTACATCAAATATTTTCCAGTGAATGCTAATGAGACTTCTCTAGTATTCTCATGCTATTAACGATACATATTCAAAAATGTATATAAGTACTGTTATCAATTCAAAGATGTTTAAAAATAAAACATGTCACATAGTAAATACTTTGAAATCCACTAAAGTTATAACCAACATGGTAAAAGAGACAAATTTGCTTCTAATACTATTTTTATGTGAAAAACTATTGAATGAAACACTGCAAATCACAGTACATTTCATAGATAAAGAAGTAGATAAAGAAGTCTTGGGATTCCCATGGAATGGACTTTATTTCTGGAATGCATACTAGCCAACTCTGCCAAGAAATCAGTGAATATCCATAGAATATAAAACAGGTTTGTCCTTGGTGCTGGTGAGATGACTCAGGGGCAGAGCATTGGATTTCTTGGCAAGGACTTCAGTTAAATCCTAGCACCTACGTGGCTGTTCTCAGCTGCCTTCAACTCCAGTTTCAAGACTTCTAAGGTCTTCTAATGGCCTCCACAAGCACTGCATGTATGTAGTGCAGGCAAAGCATTCATACACACAAAATGTTTAAAGTACCCAATTAGAAAAGGAACACTGCCAACCTTATACTATACCCTAGGAAGACTATAGCACAGGTTTCTTTGAGGGTACTAGAATGTACACGAGATACTGAAATGAATTATCTAGTGAGAAAAGATTGAACAAGATTAACACTTACACTGAAACCTCTGGTGTACACAGCATTTACCTGGATTCTGAACTTAGCAAAGCTTGCAGGCCATGGGTATGGTGAGATCCTTCGTACCATAATCAAACATCAATAGTTGGGAAGATTGACACAGAAAAAATGTATAAACCTAAGATTGTCAAAAATACTACTTATTTTAGTGGTCATAAAATGTGGGATGTCTAGTGTTGTTTGGAGAAAATTCTTGAATAACATTTGCTTAGAAACAATATGTATGTAATTTAATTGACCAAATTAACAATCAATTAGATGTTTAATAATAATTAGGAAGTTGTACTCAGAGGTATTTAATGCAAATAGAAGAATACATTTGCAATTAATAATCAGAATTAGGAGCCTATATGAGAAGCAGGTAAACACATGTATAAAAGTTAGAATATTGAATGTTACCTTTTTAGGTTGTATTTTTAAATTAACATACAATTACAATACTTTCCCTTTCCTTTCTTTCCTCCAAACTCTCATATGTCACCTCTCTTCAACCCTACCATGCCCCTTCCTCTCAAACTGATGTCTTGTTTCTTTTATTTATTGTTTTACACACAGACTCAAATGTAAGAATACATCTGCCAAGCCCATTTTTGTTATTTATGTGTATATGCCTTCTGGGTTGATCATTTAGGTTCAGGTAAGCAAGGAAGGGCCCCATCTTTGGGAAAGGCTAGTTCCTCCTCTCCCAATAGTCAGTAGCTGCCTGAAGCCCTTGCCTAGGAATTGGACCTCATGAGATTTTCCCGCTCCTGTCTTAGCATACCTATTGATATTGTCATTGTTCAAGTCTTAGTTAGGCAAACGTTTCTAGGGCATACAGATTCATAGCAGCCTTCCTGGTCCTCTGACTCTTACAATCTTTCCATCCTCTCTTCTCTGATGTTCCCTGAGCTTTAGGTGCAGGAGCTATGTTGTAGATGTATTCTTTACAGCTGGGCTCACCGTGTTTCTTTGATTTCTGTATGTGTCCAGTTGTGGTTTTCTGTAATGATCTCCATATTCTGTGAAGAAATCTTCTTTGAAGCTTGGCTAAAACCAGTCAACTATGTATATAAGGAATAATTATGAAACTACAGTTAGGAATTATGCCAATCAACAAAAGTGTGATTTTTAGGTTCTCTTCTAAGATTCATGGCTTGAGGTTGATATATTGTGTATCCTAATAAACT